TCCCTGATTGAACCCAGCACATTCTCACATGCATCAGATTCCTCAAATTCTCACTCCCTAACCAATCATCCAATCACACCCCTTTCCTTTCAGTATTTAAACCTCCTTCGCACACCTTCCCACGCTCACGATTGAGAAGCCTTTCATAGTATTCTCCAGTGCGCGTTTCCAAACCTTTCGACTGATCTCCCGTTACGAATCTTCTGCTTCCGCCTCTTGACCTCACCTTCTGGATTTTGTCTTTTGAATTGTTTTTGGATATCTCTCGTTACCGGACCCTCTGCCTCCCTTATCGACCCAGCCTTTGGATTCTGTCTTTTGGATTGTCCCTTTGCTACTCTGCGTCCTGTGGGATTCCGGTCACGTATAAGGATCCTCCTATTCCACGTATAGGTTCCGTGACACTGATGTAGCAAAGCTTCCCCATAGCATGATACTGCCACCCACATTCACCATAGTAAGGGTTGTGTTCTCAGGATTAACTTCACTGTCATGCTTGCGCCAAACATAACGCTTACCATTGAGGCCTGTAAGTCATACCATTTGATGTTAGGGTGCGTTTGTGCCCAGTTCTTGTTTCTTTTGTTAATCCTTGTGGCTCCACAAAGGCTACAAGAACTGTGAACCTCTCTATCAGAGAAAGACAAGAGTTGTACAGACACAGCCATAAAACCATATTGCAAGGAACAAAGTAGGCCTGGTGATTCTCAAGTCAAGAAAAGAGATTCCTAAAACCAGACAAAAGGCCACAAATTTGGGGCCACAACTTGGCAAGGAATGCAAGAAGGACTTTTGTAAGTTTCAAGAAACTGAGCAAATGTAACTTAAAATCATAGATACAGTATATCCTATGCACTGCAAACACCATGTTTTTTTTCATTCTACTGATATTAAATGAAGAAACCACATGATTATACTGAAAAGAAACACAGCCAGCTGCAGTAAACCTCGAAGCGATGTCTGAGAAAATACCCATAGATATCACTTATCTGGTTTTCCATTAAAGACCAGTCAATGCAAAACCGAGTCACACCTCTTTAAATGACGTGGAAACTCCTCCCATTGCTTGTATAACAAATGAGAATTTTGACCCAATAAAACAGCATCCTTCAATCCTTAACACTAAAAGACTGTATGAAGTACTGGCTATGTTCCCACATCACATACTCCATTCCATTGCAAAAGGGTAAGTTAAAAATATTAAATCAATAAGTAATAGGTCTTCTCTTTTTAGCATGGAATAAACCTATTACTTGGTCCTTTGCAGCCTACGCATGCTGATGCAGCTACCCACCTGAACATATTAAATTAATATACAATATAAGGCATCGTGATTATTTCAGCCAGCACACAACGGAGAAGAAGTAGCAAAGAGCTCAGCTGGACCAGGGAAGCTGCTCCAGCTGCTCCTCCCTCTCCAGCCCTCAGCCCATCTACTTGCACTCCACAGCAACGCTGGATCGGCTCCTGAGCAGTGGCACAGAACCCCTAACCTTAATAAATCTCCACTGATCAGGTGATGCCTACTTCCCCGCTATTCAGAATGTAAGCAATAGGAACATACCAAGCACCCTCATTTTCACACCTCTTAAAGGAATAGGTTGCATTCACCTTGTACTTGGGTTCAGTGTTTGATAGCGTAAAAAAGTTATCATAATGAGAACTTACTGTACTCTTATGACTTTTGCCTTGAATAGAATTCAGATTTATTGACACTGTTCTGTATCTTAGCAACTTCTAATTCTTTATTTTCATCCATTTCCACTTCTCTTTCCATAATCCTTAGTTTGTATTATTTTACTAAATTAACCTATTTTAATAAACCAAAGCAGTCCTGATTTGAATTCATGCAGCTCAACCTCACCACTATCTTGGGTTGTTAGGCAATATATTAATTATCACATTAATCTGGGTGTGTTTTCAGAGGACATGGTTATATAAGGGTTGGTGTAGTGACTAACACTAGATCACAGGACGTGTTTTATACAGTACCTGCTCTTGGTCTTTCAGTAATCTAGGACACGAGATATGGGTCTTGTGGTTGAAAGTACTTACAACAGTGTCTAAGGTTTACTCACAAGTGCTATTCTCCCAGAATTTGTACATAATTTGTACTTGCAGACTAAAAATCTGTCTTCCATTTGGTCTCAGAGTCTCCCACATGCCTTCTGGCAAATTGTAGTCAAGATCTGATGTGAATTTGTTGTCACTTTCCCATGAAGCTCAAATTTGTGAAGCACTCAGGCAAATGTCATGTGCATGGTTTCTCCCATCTCTGCCATGGAAGACTGTTATTCCTATAGAGTTGTCACCGGCCTCTTGGTGGCCTCCCTGACTAGTGCTCTTCTCTCCTTAAACTCAGATTTTGAGGACATCCTGTTCTTCACAGTTTCACAGTTGAGCCATATTTTCTACACTTCTTTATAATGGATTTAACTGTGTTTTGGGGATATGTAATGCCTTAGAAATTTTCTTAAACCTTTCCCCAGACTGGTGTTTTTCGTCTTTTCGATAACCTTATTCCAGATTTACTCTGAAAATTTGTCTTCATGATGTTGTTTTGTACTAATCAACTGGACTCCATTCAATAACCTATGTGACTTGTAAAGACAAGAGCCTATTAAGGTGTGTCTTTGTAAAGGGGGTGAATACTTATGCATATTATGCACCTATTGTGTGTTCTATATTTATAATGAATTTATGAAGGTCTGTAGATTTATGTTTCCACTGACATTATAGACTGTTTTGTTTTGATCAATATCAATTGCAAAAAAAGCTCAAATTAATACTTTGTGATTCTATATTGTAACACAGTTAAATATGGAAAAAGTCCAAGTGGGGTGAATACTTTTGATAGCCACTGTATTCTGTATCTGTAGGGTAGAACTATTAAACAGAACCACAAACAGTCCTCTACCTCTGTCATTCTGCAGCTTCGTATTCTCTTCTTCAAGCTTCACTACAAACACAAACAACAAGCGTTAACAGTACAGTACAATACAGTCTGACTGATGGCTGTCACAGCTATAACTGTATGTAGAACTATTAAACAGAACCACAAACAGTCCTGTACCTTTGTCATTCCACAGCTTCTTATTCTGTTCTTCAAGCTTCTCTATAAATACAAACAACAAGAGTAAACAGTACAGTACAGTACAGTACAGTCTGACTGATGGCTGACACAGCTATAACTGTACTGAAGAACTATCAAACAAAACCACAAACAGTCCTGTACCTTTGTCATTCTGCAGCTTCTCATTCTCTTCTTCAAGCTTCTCTACAAAAGCAAAAAATAGAGAGTGAATAAGAGTGAACAGCAGAGTACAATACAGTCTGACTGATGGCTGTTTCAACTATAACTGTATGTAGAACTATTAAACAGAACCACAAACAGTCCTGTACCTTTGTCATTCCACAACTTCTCATTCTCTTCTTCAGGCTTCTCTATAAATACAAACAACAAGCATGAACAGCAAAGTACAACACAGTCTGACTGATCGTGGTCTTGGTTATATTAATATTAATATTAATATTAAATATTTAAAGATTTAAATAAAGAGGAAGTAATTATGAAGGGTTGCACAGCAAAGCAAAGGAAAGAAAACAAATCCCATCACAGTTTGGAGATCTACCTAGTATTATGCAGGCTCCTCACTTTCTACTTTCCCCACAAAATACAGTTTTACAGTTTGATTAATGTAACTTTCAGGTCATGCTTCATAAACTTTGATCACTATATTCTTCCCACTTGTTCTCTCCCTGAATTGTTTCACAGGGAGTGATTTTGGTTTTAACTGCCCACACCTGGGTTGAGTTATTGGGAGGTCAGAAGCCATTTGGGCTCATATCTACACATGATGAAAGTAAGATCCAAAATGGCTGTCTTCCTGGAACTTTATAATTGAGTCTTCCATAAATGAGAAGACTCATGTAGATTTCCACCCTTAGTTCTAAAGATAAGAATAAGAACTGGTTATATTATCCCTATATTTTCACTTGATAAAAACTGCAACTCAGATGTCACATCTAGACCGTGAAAGGTGCTTACACTCTTTAGTTGGTACAAAGAGTGTCCAAGGACGGGCCAATTGTTCAGATCTGTTTTATATTTTAAATTAAATCAACCCCACCCCTGTATCTGAAGCTCAGCAATGTAACAGGCATACGAAGAAAAACCCCAGATGAATATTTAGTAATAGTATACCCAGTTGTTCCTTTAGTAGTGTATTGTACCTCCATCTACACAGGTGAAACGAGCTGAATCTGCTAAATCTTTCACAAGGTGTATGAAGGGATTCAGTTCTTGTGATCACTATAATATCACAATCACTAAAATAAGCTGTTCAGGTTCAACAGTAAAAGAGGCTCCTGGGTACACAGTTTCGGGACAGGAGCACTCACAAGATAAAATAGCAGACTGCTGCTTTAAATGCAAATGCAAAAAAGCCTAATATCTACAATCAGGAAAATCCAAGTAGTCATACAGAAATGTGATCATGTCAGTACTCACTGGGATCCTCACATGCCTCCACATCATGCTTGGTTTTCCCCCTACCACGCAGGCTCCTAATACAGGCTGATGCACAGGGAAATATATTAAACACTTTAATTCAAACTATAGTTAAAAAAATACAATTAACTCAAGTGAATAGTACTGTTGTAACAGAAGAAATAAGGTTCTTGATCCCGAGATGAAGTAAAACAGATGAGTTTATTGCATGCAAGGAACAATAAAGCCGAAGTCTTGTTTCCCATAAGAAACAACAAAACCGAAGTATTGTTCCCCGTACTGTTACAAACTTTTGGGTTATATAGTGTTTTCTTCTCCGTTTCTGACGTCACTCGGTATGATGGTAAAGAGGGGGGTTCATGGTATTCGGCCAGTTTACGATGTTCTGGGCAAATGGTCAGTTTAACATTACACCCAGGGGGGTTCCTAGCTTGCATCTGCAATCCTTATCAGTGAACCCCCTTTCCTGCCATAAACCCCAGCTTGTGACTTAGAAGTCTAAACCCCCTACAGAAAAGATTAAATTCAAACCCCCGTCTTCACATCTTTCTTCAGTACAAAGATTAAGAACAGAGCACAGCTGCTTGTTAAGATCACCTAGTTTAATAAATTGGACCAATTGGACCAACGGAAGATACTGGCAATTTAGAAATGATGCAGTAACATGTCTAGGTATTATCTTTTACAAGACACATATATACAGTATGGGTCCACACATTGCACTTAAATGTATGGGGACAGCAAAGTCAATCTGTAAATGAAATATCAGTGATAAAGTCAATGAGATCTGATCTCAACATCTGAGGATTTAACATTCGAACATTCGCTTATCTGCTATGTCGCCTTGCCACATGAAAAAAGAAGCAGAACAGGATGAAAATTTTAGCTGCAGAACAGACGAGTATTATGAGACCAACCTAGTTGTACGTACTATTTACTGTTGTTCATTACACAAAAGTATAGGGATGGACTTTATGTGATGAATTGTGATAGTTCCCTGCAACCAACACTCATGAATGTCATGTCCTTAGCTGTACAGTACAATGTAATACACACTTGGTCATATTAGGACATATCATGTTATTAATATTCAACACTTGCACTTAAATAATAGCGATGAACACTGGAACAAAGAGGTTGCTTATGAGAGAAAAAAAAAACTTACTTTCACTTTTTAATTGTGAAAAAAACACAACAGGAGCTAAAGTATACTGTACATAAATTCAGCCAATAGTCACCTGGCTATATGATACAGCAGAGGCATACATCTAATGGTTCTGGGTGAAATAATTGTGATCACCAAGTTCAATATTTTGGATGATAAATCTGGCTAATTTAGAACAGGAAGATTTAGTTTGCAAAATATACATTTTTTCTCTTAAAGCAGTCCCTGCAAATGTTTTCAAAACCAGCAAACCAGCCCCCTACAATTAACATCATTCCCAGAATCAAACATCAAGAGCTCACTTGTAAATTTTTTATTCAGAGTTACTATAATCACCTGACCAAAGGAAACAATAAAGGCACATGTTTCTCAGAGCATGAATAATATTTGTGATGAGATCATAGATATACTTACATGGTTTTCTCCTTAAGCAGCACAGGATAACCAAAAGGAAAAACACTGCAATAATTAAGCCCACTACACATCCAACTCCAGCTGGCAGTAACCAGGAGAGAACAGCTTCTTCAGGCTGAATACCTGGACAATTGAATAAGAACAGAAATGAGCTGAGTACAACAGCCCTAGAGTCCACAACATGTTAATCATTAGCAGTGACTCCTGTACTGTGATTGAGACCCTCATCCTTCAGTCTTCAGTTCAACCACACCAGCACCAGCACCAGGTTGAGTTTTCACGTGAACAAATTGAAGCAAGGAATTTTCTGCTCTTCTCATCAGTATTTTATTGAAAACTGATGTACCTCAAATTAAAGCGCAGACAGAAAGGAAGAAACTCAAGAATTCTTGGTTCTATCTTTTGCAAAATAGTCTGTGAAAGTCTATGATTTAACAATTATACGGCCGTATAGAAGCTAATCCATCATATTCACCAGTCTATTCCAGCTTTGTTACTTGCAGGTGTTCCTCATCATAAACAATAATAATTAATAATCCTTTACACTTAAAGAGCTCTTTTCTGGACACTCCACCCAGAGGACTTTACAGGTAATGGAGACTCCCCTCCACCTCCACCAATGTGCAGCCCCACTTAAATGATGTGTCGGCAGCCAAAGTGTGCCAGTACTCTCACCACACTCCAGCTATCAGTGAGGAGGAGAGCAGAGAATGAGGGGATAAAGATGCCAGTCAAGTTCCAAACAGCTCATAGATGGAGATTATTAGGTGGTCATGACTGGTAAGGGAAATTTGGCCAGGACACTGGGATAACACAGAGAGTGAAACCAAGGCCTTGAGATCTCATCCAAAGGACTGCACCTGTTCTACAGTATACACTATACTGGGGCATTAGGACACACAAAGACCTCAGGGTGAGCGCCCCCTGCTGGCCCCACTAACACCTCTTCCAGCAGCAACCTTAGCTTTCCCAGGAGTCTCCTGTCCAAGTACTGGCCAGGCTCTCACCAGCTGAGCTTCAGCGGGGAGCCAGTTGTGAGCTACAGAGTGATATAGCTACTGCCTATACGAGCAGCTCTAACAACGGTGCTCATATAAAAACAGGCTTGGAGACTTGTCTCCTCCTGGAGTTATGCATGAATAAATGAATTATCTGTTGAAATAATCACATATTAACAAAACAGGGAATAGCCACCTAAAAAGTAGAGAAGCTCCCGCCTGTTGAACAGTCAACAGTAGTACCGTGGCACTACAAACATACAATTGTTTACAGATCAATAAAAATTAACAACTTTCTTTCAAGCACAGACCTTGAGTCTTGGACATGTTCTTCTGGTGTCTTCCGTTATGAAGAGTACCTACAGGAATTACAAAAACAAACAAAACAGTCCACAGACATGCTGGTGGGTTAGTTGGCATCTAGGAAAATTGGTCCTGGTGTGAGTGTTTCTATGTTTGTGTCTGTGTGTGACATGTGGTGGACTGGCTCTCCATCGAGGATGTGTCCTGCTTTGTGCAATCAAGTAACTAATATTAATGGAATAACTCTTCCCTATAGATAGAGAGATAAGACTTTATTGATCCCGAAGGGAAATTGAGTTAATTATATCACAAACATACCTGCTTGACAGAATATGAACAGAATGACCACCAACATGATTATCCAGAGGTGTCTCATTGTGAAGCTGTGATAAACACATGGTGTTAGTCTGTTTCTATCTGCAACTGAGAAAACAACCTCAGGAAGATTACAAATACAGTATGAGTATTTTTCTGTTATCAATTCTTAAGGGAAACTGGCTAACGGTATAAGGTATGAAGGGATGAAGATGCCAGTCAAGTTACAAACAACAAAGTTGTCCAAGCAAACTTTAGTGAAAATGAAGTACAAATGAAATACTTTTTCAATTAAACATGGTTTTGGGATATGTTTCTGAAACTATGAAATTAACAATTTTAATTGATTTCAAATGTAATTTAGATTAACTTTTAGGCTAGACTAAAACACTTCAAGAACATTCTAATTTTATTTCTACCTGTAGTGTGAATGTAATTCTTATGATATAGGTTAGGTGTGCTGCGGAGCTAGGGGTAGGTTTAAAAGATCCAGTAAAAACTGACATCAGTGATCACTATGGCTGTTCTTTTTAAAATTAAGAGCTGGACAACCAGATTAGGTTTTGCACAAGCTTTTCAAGGGCTCCATATTAAGTTCTAGGTAGTATGTGGCCCTTGCACCCAAGATACTACAATTTCAGAGATACAAGTACAATTTTACTACTTCCATATTGCTAATCCTTTCAAAATCTTAGCCATGACCTGAATGACAGTCTAGTTTTAACGGTCGTCTCACTCTAACATTCTGAATATTCCCTATTTTAAAAATAAAATTCTATTAATCATTAGATCAGACTAAAAACACCTCAGTATTCTTTTAATTAGATGTCTTAAACATGCACAACTTTAACTCCGGATGGGGTAAAATATCACATTTTAATGTTTTTGCCCTCAAATGTTAATGACTCGAAAGCTTTCTACAACTGCGTTTAAAGTACAGCTCAGCCTGTTACTGTCTGGTTACTGAAAGATGTCGGGATACGAAAGTGAAAGTATCTGGGATTTTCTTCATCTTCGGGGAAACAAACGACAAAATAAATACTTGGTCTAAGCAAACATTCACAATTCTCTGGATATTTCTTGAGATCTACAGCGAAGACATATTTACATAACGGTTATGACTTTATTATAAGCCGTTCTTAACTGTTATCGGCGCTCAATGTACAGTAGCGGCTCGTCACTCCCGATTCTCCGTTATCTAACGGTCACAAACAGAATATAGAGCCGCCTTCAATAGATAGAAGTTCTCGCGTAACGTCTGCATATGCTCTTCATTTTCAATGCAATTTAAGCCTTATTTGCAAATTACAGCACTCTCGTGTCACCTATGAAAAAGAAAATATAAATCAGGACCGCTTCATCAGTCACGCCCTTAAATCAGAGCCACGTACTGTACAGTGTATTAACAATGCTCAGTTACATCGCGATTAATATATAAAGTTGCAGTTTGACAATTCACAAAGCAGACAATATGTGTGATAGTATATATCTGGTCAAAAACAGAGTAATTACAATTGTGTGATCGTGTTTTTACCTGCTTCTATCTCTGGATTAACGGATCGAACCAGGTCATATAGTTCTGTTCCAGGAGGTCTGATTGTATTAGACACCGACACCAGCACACCAGCGGCAAATGCTTTGCAAATTTGGACAGACGATTACAGAACACGCAATACAATTAGGGCGAAAAAGAAACTGCAACCAACTTCTTCTCCCAGTCCTCCTTAAAATATCTTCCCTTTTCTCTTCCTTTGCGGCTATTGAGGTAAAAAATAATGTACGCTCCTCGTATTGAGAAGGAAGCGCACCCAGTCGCTGAGGGCATCGCAGCGCCTGCTGGGAGTTGTAGGCGGGGGGAGTCCAGGGGTCCGTAATGACCAGCAACTGACCCTGCTCATGTAAATAACCCGTGTCAGCTAAAGTGCTCTCTGAAGCTTTGTGTCCCATAATGTACTGTGTGTAGAGCCTGTTAAAAAGTTAAGACTCTAAACTTGTGTACGGGTTCCATCTGTCCACTAATGTGTGCGTAAATCCTGGTGCTAGGTTTTGTTTTGTAAAAGAGAATAAAAGCAGGTGCTTATGAGCCTTCACTGTCTCCTCTTGTCCTTTATCCTGAACGAACCTGTAGATGTTACAATTGGTGTCAGAAGCAGGCACGATGGACAACCTGTGGCTGACGTTGGTGGACCCTGAAAGAGATCGGACCCAGCAGCAGCGCACACCTGGAGCCTGAGCAACTCCTGGGTGCAATGGGTGGCCACAGCCCTTGCAAGGGAACTGGAGCAACTCCCAGCTACTCCCGTCCGGCAGACGCTGCAGAGAGGGGATGCCCTTTCCTCAGGGGCTGGCCAACTCTTCCTGCACCCGCCGGTGCGGGTGCGACCCGGTCGCTATGACGGAGAAGCGCCGTGGGAGACGTACGAGGCGCAGTTCCAGCTCGCGGCCCGGGCGAATGGCTGGAGCCGGGCAGAGATGGCCGGCCACCTGGCGGCGGCGCTGGAAGGAGCGGCCTGCCAGGTGCTCCTGGACGTCCCGGAGGAGGAGTGGGGTGACTGCGCGACGCTGACGGCGGCTCTCCAGCTGCACTTCAGCGTGGAGGAGGCGCTGGACCTGATCCAGGAGAGGCTGGCCCTGCGGCGCCGCCCACCAGGAGAGTGACTGGACCGGGTCGCTGCTGATGTCTTGTTCCTCATCTGTTGTGGATACCCAGCATTCCCCCGGGATGGCGCTCCAGGCCTTTCTCGAGGCC